TCCTCCTGGTGTGACTCGTTCGGGCTCCTCGTGGTGTGAGTCGTTCGGGGCCCGCGTCGTGGTGTGAGTCGTTCGGGCTCCTCGTGGTGTGAGTCGTTCGGGCGCCTCGTCCTGGTGTGAGTCGTTCGGGCCCCTCCTTGTGGTGTGAGTCGTTCGGGCTCTTCGTGGTGTGAGTCGTTCGGGCCCCTCGTCCTGGTGTGAGTCGTTCGGGCTCCTCGTGGGGCCTCTTGGGGGCCTCTTGGAGCCTCTTGGGGCCTCTTGGGGGCCTCTTGGGGGCCTCTTGGGGGCCTCTTGGGGGCCTCTTGGGGCCTCTTGGGGCCTCTTGGGGGCCTCTTGGGGCCTCTTGGGGGCCTCTTGGGGGCCTCTTGGAGGCCTCTTGGGAGCCTCCTGGGGGCCTCTTGGGGCCATCTTGGGGGCGACCTCCTCTGAAGCGCAAAGGAGCGCTGCCCCCTGAGAAGGACGAAATGAGCCCAAAACCTTCGTAAAATCAATGATTTGGCTATGAAGGCAGATGAGCGCGGCCCCCACAGGAGGCCAAAATGGGGCCAAAACCTTCGTAAAATCAATGAGTTTGGCTTCGAAGAAGAGCAGAGGGGCCAAACTCCCTCCCCCCGTCGGGGCCAGAATCCTCGTGAGGGTCGTCGTTTTTTAGCCCTCCCAGGAGTCGGAAAAGACCCTTCCAACGACCCGCGGAACCCCCTCTCCAGGCCCAGGGGGAGGGGGTTAGGGGGAGGGGTAAAGCCCTCCCCGAAGGGGAAGAAGGGGGGTTGAGGACAGAGCGGGCTCTCTAAACCACTCACGCCCAGAGGGCTGGTGGGATTGCTGTCTCCCGAGCGAGCCCGCCAAGTGGCCCCGTCGCGCGGTGGCCAGCGCACGGCCCACCAGGCGCCGCAGGATGTTCGGCGCCGCGATGGGCCGAACGCAGTGGTCACCCTTCCGGAGCGGCGTGAGTTGCGAAGTAGCCAGAGCGGCGGCGGCGCTCTCAGGGACGCGCCCCTCCGCCAAGCGGTCGCAGACGCCGCAGAAGGCAGCCAGCGCCCGTGAGTCAGAGCGCACCACCCGCCAGTGCTCGAACCTGCCGCCGCCGACGGCGGCCCCATTTCCCTTTGGGCTGGCCAGGAGAACCTTCTTCAGCCGCCCGTAAGAGAGAAGCGCGTCGTCGAGCTGGGCCGGCGGCGGCGCCAGGGCGGGGGCGCCCCGCGGCTACAAGACCCTGGAGCTGCTGCCCAGTCTCCGGCGTCAGTGGGGCCAGCCCCAGGCCAGCGCTTTCCGCAGCGCCTCGTCGGCCAGGGCGCTGGCGTCGCGGTCTGGGCAGCGCCCCTCGCGCCGGGCCTGCGCCAGCGCCCGGCCCGTCTGGCGAGCCTCCGCCAACAGCTCTTCCCAGCCGCCGCGCTGCAGGGTCGCGCAGCGCTCCCGCACAAGCCGGGCGCGGTCCAGGTTCTCCGTTTCCGCCCGCCGCGAGCGACCCCCGCGCAGCCAGAGCGGCGCGGCGAAGAGCAGCCTCTCCCGCAGGAGCAGCAGTTTCCGGGCTCTGTCCTCCTGCCGGCTGCCGGCAGCGGCGCCGAGGACGGCCTTGCAGACCTCTTCCGTGGCCTGGGCCGCAGCAGTGCGCGACCCCCGGCACGTAGCGGAGCGTGGGGACGTTTTCGGCGAGCCCCTCCCCCTGCCCTTCCCCCTCCCCCTACACCTCTGCAACTCCTCCGCCTCGTCCCTCCTCCGTCTTCCTCGTCCTCCGTCTTCCTCCTCCTTCTCCTCATTCCTCCTTGTCCTCCTTGTCCTCCTCCATCATTTCTTTTGTCCTTCTAGATAACTCCTCCCTGTCACACCCCGAGGCCAGCCAGTTTTTAGGGCGGGCGGGGCGTTTCGCCTGAGACTTCTTCACCATCTATGATTATGAAGCTGAAAAAGTGGCAACAGTTTCACAGATGCAGGGCGGGTGGTTTTCAAAATGTGGTTCTCGCCTTAGCGCCGCGCACATTCGCTTTAAACATTTGCAAAGTGTTCACGGATTGAGGGTGGGTGGTGTTCAAAATGTGGCTCTCGCCTTAGCGGCAGCGCCGCGCACATTTAAACAATTTGTAAGAGCTTCACGGATTGAGGGCGGATGGTTTTCAAAATGTAGTTATCCTTTTAGCGCCGCGCACATTCGTTAAAATTCGCAAGAGCTTCACGGATTGAGGGCGGTTCCGTTTCAGAATGTGATTCTCGTTTTAGCGCCGCGCACAGTCGTTTTAAGATTTGCACGAGCTTCGCGGATTGAGGGTGGGTGGTTTTCAAAATGTGGTTCTCGCCTTAGCGCCGCGCACATTCGTTTAACAAATTGCAAGAGCTTCACGGATGGAGGGTGGTTCCTTTTCAAAAATGTGGTTTTCGCCTTAGCGCCGCGCACATTCGATTTAAATGTGCAAGACGTTCACGGGTTCCCAAGATCAACGTACCAGAAATTATGTTTTGGAAGGATTCAGGATAATGTAGGCACAACAGTTATGTTGATTCGCAGTGTCGAAGTCCCAAAAATTGTGGTGTGGCACGATTCCGCATCGTCAAGACGCAGCAGTCAGGTTGATACGCGGCGTTGAAATCCCGAGAAAAATGTTCGGGCATGCTTCAGGATCTTCAAACGGTTGTCTTCCAACGAGGCAGTTCCCTCAATGGAAATGAACCGTCGTGGGGGGCCATGAAGAGGGAGCTTGGAGGGAGGGTTAATTCCAACATCGTTGATGATTCTTGGTTTTACACTGGTCATCCTCCTCCTCCTCCTCCTCCTCCTCCTCCTCCTCCTCCTCTTCAGGCTGCGCGGAAGGAGGACAGGGACAGGAGGGGGGGGAGGCCACTGCCTGCTCGGCACTCGGGGCCCCCTTCCTCCGGGCACAGTGGTATAGTCCCAGAGTATTCGATGTCGCTGCCATCGCCGTCACCGTCATCGTTGAGATCGTCGTTTTTTGTTTTGGCCCGGTGGGTTCGGAAAATTTGACTTGCCCGCAAACCTTGGCCAAAAAAATATGTCAGTCGGCGGGGGTTCGTTGTCAATGGGGGCGGTGTTCGATGTCAGTCCCCTCCCCTTTTGCATGCCAGTGAGCTCCTGTTCGATGCCAGTTGGCCCCCTGGGGCGTCCTTCAAACCGAATTGTAGCAGCACGCTCATAGACCCGCTCAGGCCATCCGCTTGCAAGGCGCGGCGTGTCGCCAGGGCCGCCAACGCGTCACGATAAGCAGAAGTTCCCGACCGCAGAGACCCCCCCACCCCGGCCCAGACGTGCGATGTCTTGATTGGTTCCACACGGGGCCGCTGGAAGTCCCGACCAGGGCTGGACCTAAACGCTGTTTTGCTGGACTTCGGCTGTGTTCTTCTTTTTCGTTTTGGCAGGGAGGTGCAGGAAAACAGGCAGGTGCAAAACGCAAAAACGAAGCGAAAACAAAACGAGTCCCGACCCTTTCCCCAGGACCAGCTTCTCGCCCCTGAGGTCCTGTTGTTCCCCGACGGTGCCCGGGGCCCAGGCGAGGGCCCCCCCCCCCCATGGCGGCCGCAGACCATCGGAGACCTCCCGTCGTGAACGTTGTCACGCCGCGAGCATGTCGGGGGACGTTCCGGGGAACAGGCAAATAACACAAATCAGGAGCCCACAGCCACAATGAGTCGTCGACTCCCCGGAAAGCATGGGAAAATATGGGAATTGTGGGGGGGAAGACCAAAACCCGAAATATATGGTCCCGGGCTCCGGGCCCACGACCCCCCCCCTCCCCCCCAGATGGTATGGTCCCAGGATTCCTCGGGCCCCCACCCCCCTCCCAGATGGTGTGGTCCCAGAGACGACGACGACGACGACGACGACGACGACGACGACGGCGACGACGACGACGACGGCGACGACTACGACGACGGCGACGACGACGACGACGACCACGACGACGACGACGACCACGACGACGACGACGCCGGCGGCGGCGACGACGCCGACGATGACGACGATGACGACGGCGACGACGACGATGACGACGGCGATGACGACGGCGATGACGACGACGACGACGACGACGACGACGACGACGAGGACGACGACGACGACGACGACGACGACGACGACGACGACGACGACGACGACCTCTGAACCACAACAGCACCACACCACGTCCACAGGGGGGGGGAGGGGGGCACCGCAGCGCAGCACCACGCCACGCCCACCTCTGAACCACCACAGCACCACACCACATCCACAGGGCGGGGGGGGGCACCGCAGCGCAGCACCACGCCACGCCGACAGGGGGGGCGGGGGGGACCATCGCGCGGGGGGAGGGGGGGCCCAATGGCATCAGCACTGGGGGGGGGGGGGGGGGGCCCAAGCCCTGGACCATACATGGGAAGATATGGGGAATCCTGTCATTTGTGCCTATTTACCTATTTACTTGGTATGTCCCTGGGCCCCTTCACAAACATAAGCGTTCGGAGGTCCGCACGGATTCCTCGGATCGGCGCGGTGACCTCCCCCCCCACCATTGGCGCGCCCGGAGGCGCCGCCAAGGGTCGACCCAGCGCCGACCCTGGAGCGCCGCGCGGACCTCCGAAGGTTTAAGGTTATGTCTCGGCTCGTTCCCCGGAACTCGGCGGCGAGCAAAGGGGGGGAAGCGAGAAGGAAGGGCCTCTCAGAAAGCTCGGAAGGCCCCCGGCCTTCTGAGAAGTCTTCTGAGCCTTCCCCGAAGACAAAAACAAAAAAAACAAGAAACTTCTCGGAAGGCGCCAGGGCCTTTGAGAAGCCCCGCCGTCTTCTGAGAAGGCCTTCTGCTTCTCGCTTCGCCCCCTCGCCCGCGGCCAAGGATTAGGTCGGGCGTGTCCTCCTACAGGGGATTTTGGACGACAAATAGAAAATAGTCAAAAAATACAAAAAAGTGTCAAGAATACTGGAAAAAATCGTCCCCAGACTATTTGTTTCGATTATTTTGGGGATATTCCTCCTGTGGAGGGACGTGCCCGACTTAAGCCAAGGAGCGCTGCCCCCCCCAGAGGTGGAGCGCTGCTACTGCCTCCCCGTGCGCACCGCCGACCTGCCCGCCGGGGCCGCGCAGCTGCGGCCGTGGCTGGTGCGGGGGCGGGCGGGCGAGGGCGCGCCGCGGCTCCTCCCGCTGGGCTGGGGCCTGCTGTACAACGAGCGCCCGGCCACGGGCGGCGCGGCCAACCTGGCGTGGGAGCACGAGGAGTGCTCTCGCAGAGCGGATGTCTCGTTCGGACAAAAAAAACAAATGGGATGGGCTCCGGGGCTGTGCCTGGAGACTGTCATGCCGGATTCGGGAGCGGATTTCGCGCGGACTTTTTTGGGGCCAGGGAGGACGGGTATTAAAAAAATCCACGTGGAATTCGCTTCGTGTTTCGCTCGCCGTTTCAGGGTTCTGCGCTGACAGAGATTCCCGCAGGAATCCGCTGCAGCACTCTGCAGGGTCGGTGCAATGATCGATCGGGCGAGAGTGGCGCCGCGTCGTCGATGCGTCGGCGGTGCGGCCCGACGTGGATCGGGTTGACCCAAAAGGGGGTCTAGCGACAAGCGGGTGGTGCAATAGATTTGGTGCAATATATTTGTGGGGGCGCAATACATTTGGGGCGTGCAATACATTTCGGGGCGCAAATGTATTGCTGCATTTTCGCGTGCAACGCATTACTCGCCATACAATGCAATACAATTCTCCGGCGCAATGCACTTGCAATACAACTACCCCAAATCTATTGCACCACCCCCTTTCAGCTGGACCCCCTGGTGGGTCACCCAAAGTGGGCCAGATGTTGTCCACGCGGGCCGTCGCCGATGCACCGCCGGCGTCGCCGATGCGTCGGCGGTGCATCGGTGATGCGGCCAAAGGCGGCGCCCAGCCACGGGCGGCGCGGCAAACCTGGCGTGGGAGCACGAGGCAAGTTTTAAGTCGGGCCTGTCCCTCAACAGGAGGAGTATTCAAAAATAGTTTTAAAATCGTATGGGGACGATTTTGTGACTATTTTTGACCATTTGGGGGTATGCTTGGGGTATTTTGATTTTTCGTGCAAAATCCGCCTGTAGGGGGAGGGACATGCCCAGCCTAAGGCAAGTTGTTGGATGTATCTCGCAGGCTTTCCGCCGCCTCTGGCGGTGTGCGCTCAGAGCAGGAGCCCCGCAAGGCCACAGGAGAGCGTGGCATTGGCAGTGCAGCTCCGCACACAGGTCAAGTGCTCTAGCGAGCAGGAACACCGCAAAGCCCCAGGACTGCGAGGCATCGACAGCGCATCTCAGCATCAGCGCAGTGGCTAGGCAGCCCCCGCGACATGTCGACGAGCGTTGCTCCACACCGGCGGCTGGGGACGGAGGACGCGAGGAGACCTGCGCACATACTGGCCGGCCAGGCCCAGCCCGGGCCCAGGATCGGTGCAATGTCAGCCCTGGAAGTATCGAGGGAGGGCCCCCCTCCCCCCCCCCCGTCCTCTCTCAGTGGGGGGAGCAGCGCTCCCAGCGGCGAAAGATATGTCACTCTTCCCCCCCAGCCGGCGTTTCAGCTTGAGCTGTTTGACATGATTCGCGTGAGGTCAAGAGACATGGCTCTGGCGATCTTGGGCCGTTCAAGGATTTATCATTGGTGGTCAAACCCAGGCGCGCAAGCCGCTGCTACCGCTCCGCGCTCAGCGATCGGAGGACCCCATGGGGCCCGCCCCAAAGGTCACTCTGGCGAGAGGTCACTCTTGCGTCTAGTCGACGCAGGCGGGCCAGCACGCTGCAGACGAACTGTGCTCCCGCCTCCGCCCGGGCTGTCTCGCCCGGGGCCGCGGGCTCTCGAAGGCGCACTTCGCCAGTGCTGGCACTGGTGCTAGTCAAACGGGGGTGAAGGGCGCCCTCCACCCTGGCTATGCTGTCGCAAGACTAGGCGATCGGCCTCGTCATGACCACCACCATCACCATCATCGCCATCATCACCAGAAAAATCAGCAGAGTGATAATCACACCCTCTGCCGTACACCTTTGTTCTCATCCGCGGGTATCGCTTGCGAGAGGAGGAGGAAGAGGAGGAGGAGGAGGGAGGAAGAGGAGGAGGAGGAGGAGGAGGTGGGCCGTCGTTAACGCCGTGAAAGGCGAAAAGCCGCATATGCTAACAATATACGTTTTTCCTTTTTGGAAAACTATGATGTTGGCCTCTTGGGGCCCTCTTGGGACGCCCCTTAAGCGCCGCCTGCTCAGGGGGTCCTCCCTGGGTTTCGCTTTGATGCGTGCGCGCGGTTGTTGTGGGAGGGGCCCCCGAGTGCAGCTGTCAGCCGAGGCGCTGTTCACGTACGCACACGTTCTCAAGTCTGTCAGTCTCTTAGCCGCGGCGCTCCAATCTTTGTTCGAGCAGGGAGCTCAGACCGCCCTCAAGCCCAAGCCGTGGGCGCATGTGCGCGCCGCCGTCTCGGCTCTCACCCTCACCTACCTGCGGGCGCATAGACGTTTATTATCACACCCACCTGTGAGATCTCCCACTGCATTTTTTCGAAAGACCGACCGTGCCTGGGAAATGCGCTGGGCTCCGCGTGCTGGGATGCGTGACTGCCAGTCTTGGATTCTAGGACTCACAGCATGTGCCTCCTGGCGAAGCCAGGAGGACGCATGCAGTAGGCCTGGGCTCAGGAAGGGCCGGGCCAGAATCGGTGTATGCGCATAGTTCTCTTTTATCCAGGTTGAAGGATCTGCGGCCAGTTGCGAGCCCTGCCCCATGCAGGGGGCATCGGGCGCCCCCACTGGGGTTCACCTGCCTGCAGACATTCTCCGAGTTCTGGACCCCAGCTTGCGTTTTCGACATTTGACCCAGGAGTGAGGTTCACACGCGGTTGCCTTAGGAAAGGAAGCCGGCAAAGCTGTATCAAATGTTCACAGGTCCGCGTGGACCTCTTGGATCGGAGCTGGGACCCCTCTTCCCTGGCGCGCGGAGCCCGCCAGGGACGGCGCCAGAGACGCCGCGAGTGGGTTCCAGCGCAGATCTAAGAAATCTGCGCGGACCTCCGAAAATTGATATGTATACAGATGTTCCCAGACGTCCGGCGCCTCGGGTTTTTCAAGGCATGGCCCCCCACATTTCTCGAGCATTTCCCTGGGCCGGTCTTCCCACAAAAGCACCGAAGAACTGTCGCCCGGATCTGTTCGACCCGTTGCCTCCGAAGGTCAAGGTTGATGAAAAATGGGGCTGCTCGTTTCTGATCGAGCCGTCGGATGTATGAACCTCTTCCCCTGGAGGAGGCCGCTGGCGCCGACGGCCGCCCGCGCAGTTTCCTCGCGCTGAGGCCGGGCGACGAGATCTGCGGTCGGGAATCTCTGCTCCACGCGTCGCTCCGACCGCCGCCGACCTCTCTGCGGACGGGCCTGCTTCCCCCCCTCCTCTGCCGCGGCCGCCCCCTTCTTCTCCATTCCCTGCCGCCCGGCGCGCCCCGCCGGCACCGATCGCTGGCGCCGGCGACAAAAAAAGTCGCTCCACCTGTTTGGGTCGAGGATGCCTCGGCGCGACACGCGAACCTCAGCGGCGACGACAGGGGCGAATAGCCCAGGGGAGGGCAATACATGTATTCAGGTGCGCCGATGATCTACGTCTTCGAAGAGGCCCCCAGGCGAATGCGTGTAACGCCCGCCCCTGGGCTATTCGCCCCTATCGTCGCCGCCGAGAACCGCGTCCCCGTCCCCGAGCGTCATGGACCCGAGCTTCTCCCAGCCTTCCGCCCCGCGCAGCCGAGCGGCGCGCGATCCGCCCGCAGGGCAGCGGGGCGCCGTGGGGGCCAGCGCCCCGACACGCGGAGCAGAGGCTCCCGACCGCGTGCGCGCCCACCGCCCCCCGGCCAGGCCGGCCTCTGGCTTTGAGCCGAGTCGGGCCTGTCCCTCGACGGGAGGAGTATGCAGCAACAGACGGGGGACGATTCTTTGACCGTTTGAAACCGTCTTTGGCTATGTCTTGACTCTTGCTCATTTTTCGCCCACAACCCGCCTGTGGGGGACATGCCCGACCTGAGCCTTGAGCCATCATGTTCCAACCTAACTTTAGCCTTGATCACCAGAAAGACTTTAGAGCACCACGAAAGTACCGAGATTCGGGGGGGTGTTCACGTGTCAGGCGCCGGGACGAGGAGGCGATCCTCGCTCGACTTCGCTTCCATACTTTTCAGGGAGCTCGAAATCATGTTTGGGATGCGGTCCTTCAGTGCGATGTGGGGTTCGGACCCCCCCACCCTTTTGAAAGGGGGGGAGGGGGGGGGGTCCCCGACGACGGACCGGGAGAGGGGGGGAGGCAGAGGGGGGTCCCCGACGACGGATTGGGAAAGGGAGGGAGGGGGGGGGGGTCCCCGGCGACGGATCGGGGAAAGGGGGGGGGGGGTCCCCCCCCCCCCTTGGGGTCATCCAGCGGCGCGCCCTCCAACATAAGCCTTGGGGCGGTGGGCACGCACAGATCCCGCCGCGCCGTGAGGGCCACCGCCGCCGTGGCGGCTGGCTCCGAGCTCTGCGCCCCGCGCCGCGGGCGGCCCGGCGGCGGGCCCCCGCTGCGCGACGCGCTCGGCGGCGCGGTGGCGAGGCCTCCCAGCCGGGTGCTGCTAGAACTGCCCCTGGCCCGGGGGCAGGGGAACAACAAGTGACATACACAAAAAAACTCGGAGGTCCGCGCGGATTTCTCGGATCGGCGCTGGGGCGCCCCTGGCGCGCTCCGCGCGCCAGGGAGGAGGATCCAGCGCCGATCCGAGAAATCCGCGCGGACCTCCGAGTTTTTACGTTTATGCCACTTTTTCTTCCCCCAATGGTGGCGCAAATGTTTTTCGCCCGTGCTGGTTTTCGCCCGGGTTGGTTTTCGCCCGGTTCGTTTCGCCAGGGTTTGCTTTCGCCCGGTTGGTTTTCGCCCGGGTTGGCGTTCGCCCCAGTTGGCTTTCGCCCGGGCTGGCGAGAGCCAGCCCCGGCGAAAAGCATCCGTACCGCCCAGGGTGCCCCCAGGATATTTCTTTGGGGGGCGAACAAGGACACAAACCTAAAAAACCCACAGGTTCGCGCGGATTTCTCGGATCGGCGCTGGGACCGCAGCGCGAGCGTCCAGGGATGAGCGCAGCCAGCGGACCAGAATCGGCCAATATGCGATGATGTTCCAGCCTCCTTTGTTCACCAGCCTCCTTTGTTCTCCTGAAATTCGAGGGTTTTCATGTGTCGGGCCCTTGGAGACACTCGTCCGACACTCTCTCGACACTTCCGGGTGCTCGAAATTATTCCTGGGATGTGGTCCTTACGTACGATGGGAGCAACATAACCCAGGATTTTTCTTAGGGGAACGAACGCTGACATAAACATGAAAACCCGGAGGTCCGCGCGGATTTCTCGGGTCGGCGCTGGGGCCCCCTGGCGGCGCCTCCGGCGCCACCCTTGGCGCGCTCCGCGCGCCAGGGAGGGGGGTCGAGCGCCGATCCGAGAAATCCGCGCGGACCTCCGAGTTGTTATGTTTGTGTCCAGCACCCGACCCGAGCAGCGCGCCCCCGAGCCTCAGGTCTCTTTCTGGCGATGTGGCTTCTGCTGCGGCCCGGCGTCCTTCCTCGCTCTCGGCTGCCCTCGGGGAGCCGAGAGCGAGGGGGGGCGGTGATTCGGGTTAAGTCGGGCCGGTCCCACCAAAGGAGGAAAAGTCAAAAATAGCCAAAAAGTAGTCTCGGGACGACTTGTCTATTATTTGTTGGACTCTTGTTTAGCAGTGTTCGACGTGTTTTAGTTATTTCTCCTAAATGCGCCTTTAGGAGGACATACCCGACCTAAGGTTAAGGGGGAGGGTATATCAGGCATGATTTGCGGCCCCCCCTCTTGGACGCCCCCCCCCTTTCTTGGACGCCCACGAAAGGGGGGGGCTCAGAAACGGACCCGGGTGCGAAGAGTTGCCCCAAAGAACGGGTCGGGACCTCCTTGGGGCCGCATTATATATATAGCATATACAATGTAGCATATATTACTATGATTTCAAATGTCCAACTACAGCAAAAAAAACTTCGTCAGTCTGGAGGGGACTGGGGGGCGGAGGGGGGCGCGAGGGTCGGAAAGCGGTAGCTGACCACCTCACAGAGGCCCAGGCCCGGCCTGGGCGGGCCCAGGATCGGTGGACACGTTAGTAGGCTCGTGTCGCGCCGACGCGGCGGCGACCGCAGCGCGAGCGTCCAGGGGATGAGCGCAGCCAGCGGCCCAGAGTCGGCCAGTATGGAACGAGCTGGCGATCGACAAGTCTCGACTCGATGTAAGAGGGACCTTTCGCCGAAGTGGCCTGTGGTGCGGGCCCAATGGGGTCCCCCGATCGCCGAACGCGAGGCGGCAGTGGCGTCTTGCGCGCCTGTGTCTGGCCCCCCCGCGGCCCCCAAGAAGCCGCGCACCAAAGGTCACTCCTACCAAGGGTCACTCTTGCGTGCAGTCGGCAGTGGCCACTCTGTGAAGGTTGAACGATCCACGCGGCATCAGATGCCAACCGCTGGGGTCGTCACGACGCGAACACCTGCCGCGCGCCTCTCCCTGGCCAGGCCAGGAGGGCACGCACACCGATCCCGGGCACGGGAGGGGCCCCAGCCGGCATCGGCGAGGCGGTCCGCGAGCGTCCCCTGGGAGAGGGGGGGGGGGGGGGCGGCCCTCCGGGAAGGCGGGGGGGCTCCTGCGGAGGCAGGAAGGGGCCTTCGTGGAAGGGCCTGGGGCCCCCGAGGGCTTTTGGGCTCCTCTCCCGTCGGCCTGCGGGAGCAGGGCCAGATGCAGGGGGCCCGGGGACACACGGATCATGAAGTACGCACGAATCCCAGGACGATGCCGGTTCCATGCTTTCTGGGTTTTCCTCTTCCCCCCCCCACTGCCCAGATTTTCCCATGTTGTCCTGGGAGGCGACGATTGATTGTGTCTGTGTGTTTTCGCCTCCTGACCGATGAATAGATGCAAGTCGACTATTTCTGTTCGACTATTGGTTCGACTATTTCTGATTATCTCTTACTACGCGAATGTTTCTCAAAAAAAACGCCTGTAGGGGGACATGCCCGACCGAAGCTTAGCGACGGGGGCTTCTGAGAAGGCGCCCTCCAAGCCGGGAGGGCCTCCAGTAATGAGCCCACGGTCCTCTCAGAAGCCCTCCAGTCTGGCCTCCCTCGGGAGGCAGCCCCCCTCGCCGCCACCCTTTTTTCTCCAAGACGCCCGCCTTCCGGCCAGTGTCGTCGTCGTCGTCGTCGCCTTCGTCGTCGTCGCCGTCGTCGTTATCGTCGTCGTCGTCGTCGTTATGGTCGTCGTCGTCGTCGTCGGCCTCTGCCTCGTCTCCCTCCTCCTCCTCCTCTCCAGAGCTTGCTCCCAGTTGAGTCCGCATTCTATATTGCCCTGTAGTGTAGCCTTTTTGGTTCTAGTCTTTTCTCCCTGCATGTGGGAGCCGCTTTCCACCTTCCTGCCCCGACTGATTGATTTGTCTCTTCAGTCTGCCATCTCCGCCGCGGTCTGCGCGCGGCACGATACTGTGGTCAATCTCTCCTGTCCAGCGCCGCCGCCGACGCAGGTCGAGCTGCGCTGCCCAGAGGTGCACGTCCCGCCGATCCACGTGGAGTGCTTGTCAGAGGGCAAGGGAGTCGTCGGGCACCTGGCTTACCTGCTCGCTGGGCTCACCCTCTTCGGGACGGGCTGGCTCTGTGGGGCGCTGGTGGCCATACCCACGTGGTTGTGCTCCAGGAGGCGTACCCCTCGGGTCGAGACGTCGGCCCAGGCTACTCAGCCATCAGAGGCAGAAGGAACTCTTCAGGATCTTGCTCAGAAGCAGCTCGCGCTGATCAAGGCTCGTCGTCATGGCGAGAGTAGGTGATGTGCTGCTGGTCAAGTACAATGTTGCGGGGCCCGACCTCTGGCATGAGAGGATAGTGCTGGCGGTCCATCCCACCGAGGCGGGGCACTACTATATGCTGACCCCCGACGGGGATGCGTACATTGAGGATTGCTCGCCCGCCTCCGATGACGTCGAGAGGATCCGAGGTGCTGCTGGTCTTGGGGATACCCCGCCCGCGCTGCATGGTGCGCCCATCTACCGTTTCAGGGACGTGCCGACCGTGGATGACTTGCGCCAGCAGGTCCTCGACGCGGCGCTGGCCCTCGGTCTCGCGGCTCCTGGCGAGATACCACGGGTGCGCCGAGTGGGGGGAGAAGACCTGGTGCCTCGAGCAGGGCCTCCGCCCCCCCAGGGACTGGCCGACCCCCGGCCCCCCGGGCAGGGGGTCCAGGCGGCGGGCGTCGCCGTGCCGGCCCCTCGAGCGGACCTCGTGTGGGTAGCTGCTGAGGACGCCGAGGACCTGGCGAAGGGCACTGAGGTTGAGGTCACGGTGGACACCATCTCTGCGGGCGACAGGGCCATCATGCCATGGAAGGGAGGCTTCGTCGCGCTGCGGCAGATGACTCGCCCCGAGGTGTATCGCTTCACCTACGATGACCTGCGAGCGCAGCCCGTGCAGTTCGATTCGAGCGGAGCGCGCAGGGTCACGTTCAGCGAGGGGGTGCAACGGCAGGATGACACGTTGCCCGCGGGTGGACTTGACCTTCAGGGCCCTCGTGCGGCTCCCTGGTTCTGCCGCTACGTGGCAGAGAACGGACCGACGCCCCAGGCGGCCCATGAGGCTTGGCTCCGCAAGGCCAGGCTGCACGAGGGCGATCGCGCCATCCACGAGCACTTCGTTCTGTCGCAGGTGCTCTCAGCCGCGGTGTGCCACGACCAGTTGAACGTGCCGGCTTTGAAGTCCATGGAGCTTGTCATCAGGAGGCTCCAGCTCATCAAGTCGGCCTACGCGCACTCCTCGTCCGCGCCTGACTTCTCGGGTGCAGACCACTTCATGGGCTGGGGGCCGGCCACCGCCTCCGCATCTGTGGCGCCTGAGCTGGCGGCCCATGTGGCTACCAAGTTCAGGGACGAGGCCGCCATCCTCAAGGAGTCGCGGAAGGCTGCTGAGGAGCGGCGTGGGCGTGGAGGCGGAGGCAAGGGAGGCAAGGGCGGTGGAGGCAGAGGAGGCAAAGCAGGGCTCGCCCCGGCCGAAGGGGAGGGGGGCGGATGACCATGCTGCCTTCTGGCGCGCGGGCCTGGCCCACCCGCGGCGCTGTGCCAGAGGACCAAGCATCGGCAGATTTTGATCGGTATGTTGAGGCGAGTCGTCAACGTGATTTGTTTCCTCTGCCAGCTGTCGATGTTGATGAGCGCCCTGATCCCGGGCTTTCTGCCACCGTCTTCAAGCGCATGTCGAGGAGGCGTTCGAGGCAGCTGCTCGCCAACGGGGTCGTCGAGACGCTCAATGTTTTAGCTTCTCCGGCCGCCATCTCTTCCTTCAGGCCTACGGCTGCTCATCGTGCTGCCCATGGTCAAGTTTTGTCTACGTTGGCGGCAAGGCCTACTTGCACATCCTTGTACAAAGACCGCGAAGCCCTACAGGCGCTTTGTGGATCGGAGTTATCCTATGCTGGGGGGGGCTCCAGTTGCAGCGTGGAGCCGTATGATCGAGGCCGGGTCTCGATGCCAGCTGCGGGGGCTTCGCCTCCGTGGCTTACGGACGTCATCGACGACTCCGGCAGAGGCGCAGTCGACGGCTTCACCACCGCGATGCTCCGCTCGCCCGTCGAGATGGGAGCCATCGTGGACCAGCAGGCACATATTAAGCCCTACATGGACGTGAGGCTCAAGAGGGACAGGTTGCTATACTACCAGTTCGTCCGCGACCTATTCGAGTCCAATCTGGTGGATTTCGGGACGGACGCTTTCGAGACCGTGTACCCGTTCTTCGTACGCAAGAAGTCGGGCAAGCAGCGGCTCGCGTGGGACTGCCGGGTGGCCAACATCCGCTGGCGCAGTCCGCCCAAGATCCGCGTGGCGAGTGGCTCGGCGTTCGCAGGTTTGCAGATCCCGCCGGAGCTGCAGGAGCACGGCATGTGGGGTGCCGGCTCCGATATCGCGGACTACTTCTTTTGGCCCGCCATGCCGCCTGACCTGCGGCCCTCCTTTGCGCTGCCGCCTGTGCCAGGCGCTCTGTTGCTCGAGTGGGGTGTCCCCGCTGCCTTGGGCGGGACACTCCATGGCCTCTTGGAGGTCAGACCTCGCCTTCGCTCCGTGCCGATGGGCTGGACCTGGGCGACGTGGCTGGCGCAGCGTGTCCACATACATCAGATCTGTCTAGCGTTGCCCTGGGCGCCCTCGAGACTCATGGAGGAGGGGGCCCCTGTTCCTGAATGGCGCTCGGATCTCCCGGTTCTGAATGTATATTGCGACAACCTAATGGTGCTTGCGACGTGCCCCAAACTGGCGAGGGAGACTCGGGATGCCGTCATTGTCCAGCTCGTCAAGTCAGGCTTTGTCGTTCACGAGGTCTTCTGTCCTGTTAGGCAGTTCACCGCTCTGGGTTACTACATCGACGGGGACGCTATGAAAGTCTGGGTCGATCCGATGCGCAGGGAGCGAATTGCCGCCGCTGCCCGAGCTCTGTCGCGACGGCCTCGGATCACAGGTTTGGCGTTGAGTCGGTTCATCGGTCATTGCATTGCCGCCTTCCTCATCTTCCGCCCGGGGCTCTCGGTATTTAGGCGCATGTATGACTTCGCTGCTAAGTTGGGGGCCGCTCCAGGACGTCTCTGGGCTGAGGCCGCTCACGAGGCTCGTCAGGTGTCGTATCTCATCCAGGTCACCATGTCGGATCTCTGCCTGGAGTGGTCGGAGAGGGTCCTCGCTACCGATGCGCGCCTGTCGGGGTTTGCCGTTGCTGCTACGCGTTGGCCTCAGGAGGTCATCAAGGAGTACGGGTCTGTCCGAGAGAAGTGGAGGTATCGGAGTCGTCTGCCGTCTGCGACTGCACCTCGCGATGCTGCCCTGCCTGCCTTCGGCGACCCCTTCAGTGACATCAACACCGTAAAGACCATCGCCGAGCCGAAAGCTATTTCGACGTACGAGCCGAACCCCGATTTCGCCGAGATCGACCCGCGATACCTCAGCAAGGAAGACTGGAAGTTACAGTATGCCTCAAGGTTTCGTGGTCGTGATGGCCCTATCTCAGTACTAGAGAGTGTCGGCATGGCCTCTGGGGCGCGTCATACTACGAGGGGCCTCTATGGGTTTCGAAGGCGACACCTCCTACTTGGGGACAACCTGGGGACTGTGCTGGCCATGGAGAAGGGCAGGTCGTCGTCGTTCTCTCTCAACAAGTCATGCCGTAAGACCGCAGCCTTTTCAGTGGCTTCGGGGTCGCGTTACGTGTACCGCTGGATCCCCTCAGAGAGCAACCATGCCGACGAGGGCCCCCGCCTCTGGGAGCCGCGCCGGCGCTCCGCCTGTGCAGCGGACCCTCCGCCCGGCGCAGGGGCCACCATCTCGCTCGCGGAGTGGCTGGAGCTGGACGAAGAGGACGACGCTCGCCTCTGGGGACGCCACGAGAGAGGCCCGGGCAGCCTCCCGCGCTTCGCTGGCGGGCAGCGCCCGGGCCAAGGCCGTGGAGGGGCGGGGCACCTTCCTCGAGTCCAGTTCGGTGAGCACCAAGACGTACAAGGACTACGATCAGCGCCACTCGGATTTCCAGGAGTGGATCGCCCAGAACCGGCTGTCGACCAAGTTGGAGAGGCAGCCCGACCTCGTGCTCACGGACTACATCAACCACATGTGGTCGACGGGGCACGACGTCTCGGAGGGAACGAAGGTGCTGGCTGCGTACATGTACTTCTACCCCGACTACTCGAAGGCCGGGAGGCATGTGCTCCCGCGGGCCCGCAAAGCCCTCCGGGGCTGGAGGAGGCTCGAGCCGGGCAGGGCCAGGCCGCCGATCCCGCTGCACCTGCTCGCGCTGCTGTGGCTCGAGATGATCCACATGGGGTCTCCTCTCATGGCTCTGGCGTTGGTCACGATGTGGGTCGCATACCTGCGGCCAGGGGAGGCCATGAGGTTGAAGGAGAAGGCCCTAGTCTCCCCGCCGCGCACTTCTGCTGCGGCCCTGTGGAGCCTGCACATGCACGAGGAGCTGGATCAGCACCCTTCCAAGGTCAACCTCTTCGAGGAGAGCCTGGTGCTGGACTCGGCCGACCTCCCATGGCTGGGAGACCTGCTGGCAGGACTCAGGAAGGGGCAACCAGACAGGCTGTTCTTCGAGTTCAAGTACCCGCTCCTCGGCCAGGCCATGGTGGGAGCGGCCAAGAAGGTCGGTCTGGAGAAGCTCAAGATCACCGCTTATCACATGAGGCACTCCGGCCCCAGCCACGACATCCTGTTCAAGAGAAGGTCGTTGGCAAGCGTCAAGGCAAGGGGTCGGTGGCTCTCCGATCGCACGGTGAGGAGGCACGAAGCCCACGGGCGCCTCCTCCAACAGCAGGCAAAGGTCTCGGACGACACGAACAAGAAAGGCGCCCTGGCTTTAGACAAATTGAAGGACGCATTCCACACCTCTTTGTTCCCACGGGCCGCCGCCTCGTCCAGGGGTGCCGGGCCGTCGAGGTCTTCTCAGGCTGTGGGAGGCTCTCGCAAGCTCTCGCCTGCGCCGGTGTCCCAGCAGAGGCCTGGGACATCGAGCAAGGCGAGGCGGCTGATTTTTTGAGGACTGAGTCTTTACGCAAGCTGGAAAAAGGAATTGTGGACCGTGTCATCTGTTTCGTCTGGTTCGGTCTTCCTTGTCAGACATGGTCCAGAGCCAGGCGCTGGGACGGGCGAGGGCCAGGCCCGCTTAGAGATGATGATGCTCACCTGTACGGGCTGCCTGATCTCTCGCCCGGTGATGCAGGCAAAGTGCGTTTGCATAATTTACTTTTGAGGCAAATGGCTGGAATTTTTAAGCTGGCAGCGGAGCGTGGCTGCCCTTGTGCCCTTGAGAATCCAGCCACGAGCCGCGTCTGGCCCACCAAAGAAGTCAGGTCGTTGTCGCTCCTGCCAACGGCCAACATGCAGGTAACAGACTTCTGCCAACTTGGGATGCCTTGGAAGAAGGCCACCAAAATCCTTTTTGTGAACTGGCCACCGCTTGCTCTGCCGCGGCGCCGACCCTCCAAGTCCGTCTGCTCGTGCTCTGGCCTCTCGCACACGATACTGGAGGGGAAAGACGCCAAAGGAGTTTGGCGCACGGCCATGGCGCAGCCGTATCCTCACGAGCTCTGCTCACTGCTGGCCAATATCGTTGCCCCAGCTCTATAGTTGCGCTGTCGCAAGGCACGGCTACGCTTGCATCTGGGGTTTGGGAGTTTGAAGTCTCAGTGGCTTGTGCTCGCCTGCATCTTTGCAAGAGTCCAATTATCTCGCACAAGCCTGCAAATGCACCTCTCAGTTGATGTGGCAATGTCAAAATGCATCGGTCTCATCTCCAGAGCTTGCTCCCAGTTGAGTCCGCATTCTATATTGCTCTGTAGTGTAGCCTTTTTGGTTCTAGTCTCCCTCCCTTCCCTCCCGAGTTTGAAGTCTCAGTGGCTTGTGCTCGCCTGCATCTTTGCAAGAGTCCAACTATCTCGCACAAGCCTGCAAATGCACCTCTCAGTTGATGTGGCAATGTCAAAATGCATCGGTATCATCCTCCTCCTCCTCCTCCTCCTCCTCCTCCTCCTCCGCCTCTTCTCCCTCCTCCCGCCCTCCCTCCGTCCCTCCCCCTCAAGAGTTGTGACCTGCGGGGGCCCCAGAAGTCCCGACCCCTTCTCCTGGGGTCGGCTTCCCATCCCGAGTCCTTTGCGGACTGCCCCTCTACAGGAGGAATATGTACGCATAGTTTAAACATTGATTGGGAACGACTTTTTGAGTATTTTCCAGCTTTGAAAATTATTTGTTTTTGCCATTTCTATGTTTCGTCCAAAATCCGCCTGCGGGAGGCTACGCCCGACCTAATGTTGGATGGGGTTGGAGCAGATGGGGTCGGAGGGTCGCGCCCGATCGCCGATGCATCGGCGATGGTGCTGGATGTGGAGCCCGACTCCCTCCAAGCTGACGTCGCCGATGCATCATGGCATCGCCAACGTCGCCGATGCATCAGCGATGCGGCGCGATCCTCCGATCCCATCTACTCGGACCCCATCTTGGAGGCCTCCACCCGGGGCTCGGCGAGGGCCCCCCGGGGCCCGAGACTGGCGAAAGAGTTCTAGCTTGCTGTTTTCGTTCCAGGACTCGGCGGCGGAGTCCGGACTCGATGGGCGGCGGGGGTGGAGCCCAGAATTCGTCTAACACGTGGCGAAAACCGATCCGTACCCCCGCCCCCCCATCGATTCGGCAGAATCGATGGTTGGCGGAGGTAGGGTTCGGATGTCGCCAACCAGCAGAGCGCGCGACCAGACAGGGGCATCAAGCTGCGAACTCGGCGGGGACACGTGGAGGGCCATGGCCGGGGGGCGGAAAGCGATGTTCGGCCACCACATGTGCATTACGTCTTGAGGTCTGGGCCTCGTGCGGGCCGCCCCGAGGCTGGCGTCCATGCCGGAGGTGCACTTCGACGAGCGGCCAGAAACCCCGCAGGCCGGCGCCGGCGCGCGGGCGGCGGACCTGGAGGCGGGCGTGCTGCGCAGCCCGAGCGCCTCGGCGGTGGAGGCTCCTCTCCTCCTCCTCCTCCTCCTCCTCCTCCTCCTCCTCCTCCTCCTCCTCCTCCTCCTCCTCCTCCTCCTCCTCCTCCTCCTCCTCCTCCTCCTCCTCCTCCTCCTCCTCCTCCTCCTCTCCTCCTCTTCCTCCTCCTCGTCCTCCTCTTCCTCCTCTTGCTCCTGCTCCTGCTCCTGCTCCTCCTCCTCCTCCTCCTCCTCCTCCTCCTCCTCCTCCGCCTCCTCTTCTTCCTCCTCCATTCCTTTTCCTTATACATATATTTTCCCTGTCGCACCCCGAGGCCAGTTTTTAGGGCGGACCGGACGTTTCGCTTGAGACTTCCTCACAACGTTTGGTTCTGAAGCTTGAAAATTTGCAACCGGTTCACAGATGGAGGGCGGGTGGTTTTCAAAATGTGGTTTTCGCCTTAGCGCAGCGTGCATTCGTTTAATAAAGCTGTGCAAGAGCTTCACGGAGTGAGGGCGTCTCTTTTTCAAAATGTCGCTCTCGCCTCAGCGCCGCGCACACTCGCTTTAAACATTTGCAGGAGCTTCACGGACTGATGGCGGCTTTTTTTTTAATGTGGTTCTCGCTTCACCGCCGCGCACATTCGTTTCAAGTGTTATAAGAGATTCACGGATTGAGGGCGGTTCCTTTTTTAAAATGCGGTTCTCGCCTAAGCGCGGAGCACATTCGTTCGTAAAATTGGCAAGAGTTCCACTGGTTCCCATGATCAACGTACAAGAAATGGCGTTTTGGAAGGGTTCCAGATTTCGCGGGCGCAACAGTTACGTTGATTCGCGGTGTCAAAGTACGACTCAGGACCGCCAAGACGCAACAGTCAGGTTGATCCGTGGCGTTGGCTTCAGCGTATTCAAACGGTTGTCCAAAGAGACAGGTCCTTCGATGGAAATGAATTGCTGCAGGGGCTTATGATGAGGGAGCTTGGAGGGAAGGTTGATTCCAACATCGCTGATGACTGTTGAGTTTACACTGGTCCTCCTCTTCCTCCTCCTCCTCCTCCTCCTCCTCCCCCTTCCCCCCCCCCCGTAACCATTTTTGTTTGAGGTTCGAAGGGAACCGACAGGATACTGCTAATTTGCGGTTATCCTTTCGCGCCTGCCTGGTCCGCCCCAGGCAAACGCGTTGGCCAGTTCAGTCGGGGAGCAGATTTACTTTCAGTGTTTTCATCGCGGTTTGGCACGGGGATGAAAGCGGGCCAGCGCTCCGCCAGAAGTATCGCAGATGTTCGGGCTGTGGCTACGTGTGGAACACCCAGCGGAACTCATTATGTGTCCAGTGTGGTTCATGTTTCGGGGCGCCTTCCGCTCCCTGGCGCGAGCCAAAAGGGGCGCGGGCGGAGTCCAGCAAGAAGTGCGAGACGGGGCACGACGCGTCGAAGTGGGTCCGCCAGCCGCGGGGTCGCCGCAGAGGAGGAAGTGGCGCGCGTGACGGCGGGACCCACGGCGGGGATGCCCAGGACAACTTAGCGGCGACGGCGCGCTCGCTGCTCGACAGGGCCGGCCGGGAGGGCGATGGGCAGTTTGCCCCCACGGCCTTCCGCGAGAAGCCAGCGCCGCCGCAGCCCAAGGTCGCGGAGTCACCATCGGCGGCGTATCAGAGGCGCCCGGGCGCGGAGCGGCGCAGCCGCAATGTATGCAAGAAGGCGACGGCGCACCAGCCCAACTGCGAGGAGCTGTTCGCTGAGGCGAGGGCGAAGGCGCGGGCGGCGGCCGACGTCGCGGCCAGCTGAAAGAGCTAGGCGGCGCTCGCCCTCGAGCGAATCAACGAGGAGAGAGGCTTGCGACAGAGTTCTGAGGGGGTGGAGGTTTCGCAATCTGCGGCGGCGATCAACCTCAGCCAGGTCCTGGAGAGCGACGCGGACATGGACGCGCCGTCCGAGCCGGGCCCGGTGCTTGACACGTCGGGATTGGAGCTACGGGGCGAGGAGCTGGAGACCTTCCACCGCGCCACGAAGGAGTTCGCGTCAGAGGTCCAGAAGAAGGTTCGCGAGGTTTTCGGCAACACAGCGGGAAACCCACGCACCACGCGGGAGGAAGCCAGGCGCGCGCGCATCCAGGCCCACAAGAAGCGCCAGCTGAACGAGGAGAAGGGCGACCCGAAAGGAGGTCCGCCCACAGGAGAGGGGGGGAAGGCCAGCTCAGACAACAAGCTTTGCCGTCGCCCAAGGGTTGCCTCGCGACGGCGGCGGCGCATCTCACAAGCCCCGCCCACATCGAGAGCGCGAATGTCGCGAAGCTGCAGCACCTGGGCGGCGCGCCGCAGGCTGTCCGCGGAGATTGGATCGCGTTTGGGGATCGGCATGCGCTGCAGGGGAGCTGATGGGCAGCGGCCAGGCTGGGCGGACCACGCGCGGGGGCTGGCGGCGCGGCCAGACAACCTTCAGCTCCTCGCAGCTCGGCGTAGGGCGGGCGGCGGACCACGCGGCAGCGGGGGGCCTGGAACTGCATCGACCATCGCGCTTCTTCGCGGAAGCCAAGGGAGATCGGCGATCGCACGCAGTGCTCGCGGCCCAGTTTGACGCGCCGCGATCGACGGCCCAGGCGACGACGCTGCCAGCGCCGCCCAAGTTCTGCAACCTTCCGCCTCCGCCGAAGCAGAAGGACCCCAACAACGAGATGGGATCCAGGAATAGGGAGAGGGAGGAGACGACCGCAGCTGAAAGGGATCAAGAGATGCCCGGAGATGGCGAGGAGATCGGGCCCGCGCCAGCCGCCAGATCATCCTGCAGCGCGCGCGCAGCCATCGCCAGATGGAATTGCCACGCACACTGTTCCGCGCCCTGAGCCCCGAGCCGCGGACGGAGGCCGCCCGAGCGCGAGACGACGGCGCGGACTTGGCAGGCGACGAAGAGGAGGAGGAGGAGGAGGAGGAGGAGGAGGAGGAGGAGGAGGAGGAGGAGGCGATCAGGCCCCCGCGAGCGCCGGAGGAGACACATGCACCAGGGCGCTCAGCGATGCGAATTTCCAGCGCGGGCGGCGCGACGCACATTCCCAACGCGGGCAGGGCGTCGTCTTCGGCGATGCACATTTACATCGTGGGTGGTGCGATCCATATTTCCAACGCGGGCGGGGCGTCGTCTTCTGCGACTCACGTTTTCAACGTCGGCCGCGCGACGCTGATTTTCTTCGCGGGCGGCGCGGCGGCTGCCACGCACGCGTCCAGCGCGGGGGGCGCGACGGCAGTCGGGGGCCCCGAGGCCGCGTGCCACCGACCCCAGAAACCCCCCGCGACGGGGAACGCCCGGTGGAATCGGCGACCAGGCCAGTCCCAGCACCCGATCCCAGGAAGCCCCCGGTCGGGAAACACCCGGCGGCATCGGCGGAGCCCGGGCAGCCCCCAGCGGGGGACTCACTCGGGGATAGCAGCGCGAGGGCGCGGCCTGGCCACGACGGGCCGACGGGGATCGAGTCGCAGCCTCCAGCGGGGCAGCCCCCCCACCTAACAGATGATGACCGCGCGCGCCTGGCAGGAGGCGCGACTGCGCGGAGACGGAGTGGCCTGGAGAGGGCCTCCTGGCCACGTCGCGGAGCCGACGGCGCCCGTCACCGGCGAGCGCGAGGCCGTCGAGCCGGGGGCCTTCCAGGGCAGGTGGGCCGCCGAGCTCGAGAGGCACGATCTTGGTCGGCGCACGCCTTGGGAACGTCTCGACGCGGCGCTGAGCGCCCCGACCCTGCGAGATCCAGCCACGGCCCCCATCGAAGAAGATCTTTTGGTCGGCACGGATCTTCCCCCCTGCGATCTCGGTCTTGATATGCTTGGAGGTCTTGTCGCCAGACACGCGCAATCGAGCCATTCCTCCTGCGCGGGCAGGGGCCGGCGCCCGAGGGGGGGGGGCCAGCAGAGTCAACCGATCCGCGGCACGGTGGGGCGCGACGGCGGCGCGCCCACTGATGCACGCCAGCGCGCGGACCGCGCACCCCCTCACCGAGGCGGGAAGGGATGCGCTGCAGATCATCTTGGACACGGGACACAGCGCGCCTTCAGACCCCCTGCTGACCATGAATGCGGGCGCACAGCGCAGGTGGGCCAGCGCCTTTCGTCAGGCGCGCAGGCGGACGGCCAGTCAGGCCAATGACATGGCCAAGGCCCGGGTGGACGTGGCTGACAGGGCTCGCGCAGCCGGGGCGCGACAGGACACGGCTGCCTTGCACGATTGGGCGATGGGGCGCGCGACCAGCCGGCCTGGGAAGTTGATCAAGTAAACCAATGACAAGACGGCGCTCGCCACGGTGATAGGCCTCGCGGACGTCGGCGCATGCGAAGATGAGCTGCTCGGGCCGCTGGCCGCGCGACGTCGACGTCGGGAGCGCTCGGCGCCTTCGCGAGCGGCGCAGGAGGTTGTCAAGTGATCAGGAAGCGCACAAGCAGATAGAACCAGCTGACTCCACGAGCCCGGCGCGAGGCATTCGACAGGCGACTGGGCGAGAGCCGGACCACCTGGGACCAGCAAACAGGAGAGCGGCCCCTGCGGAGTCGCTCGCCGAGCTTGCGGGGCTTGTTCGGAGATGCGAGCAGATGCAGGCCTGGCCTCGGAGGCTTCTCCTGGCCCTGGAAGCAATGATACCCGGGCCGGCGACGGGAGAGAGAGCGGCGGCGCTGTCGCCCTTCTCCCCGCGCGTCTGGAGCCGCCTGCGCCAGTCGGTTGGGACGTCTTGGCGCGAGAATAAAACCGACTTCAGGGTCAGGCGACGAGGGGAAATTGACCCCTAAGGCGCGGCACGCCGGCAGCTTTCCTTAATGCAACGGCCGAGGCCCTAGGAGCAGCCCACTGGAGCCCGGCGCGGGACTGCGTCGAGTTGCATGATTCTCTCGACCCCGCCTTGGCCACTGAGGCCGCTCTGGCCCTGGATTTCCCTGCTGTTTTGGCGGCGCCCCCCTCCAGCGATCGACATTGGCCGATGAGCCCGCGGCGCCCATCCACGCGGGCGATGGGGGCGCAAATAATTACGCTAGGGCGCGCCTCTCTGACGTGTCAGAGCGAATGCGCGCTGAGCATTTCCCTCGCGGGTGGTCCTCGGCACATGGGCATCTCGGGAGAGTCGGTTGCGGTTGCCAGCTCCCAGGAGCTCGCGCGCGAGATCCCCCGCGCGGATGGCAAAGAGTCCAGAGGCCGGCCCAGCATCAAGCCGCCCAGCACAGTTGCCGACCTCGGGCGCCATCGAGGCCCGAGTCGCAAGTCTTGCATCAAGCCTGGTCAAAGAGCATTAGACGTTTGAAGCAGTTACATAAGATTAAACAAATTTCGCAAGCCCGGCGTTTGCTCAGTGCCAGAAAATGATGTTTTGGATGTCTCCTGCCCCTGGGTTCCAGCACGGGGCTTTGGATCACGGCATGGCGCCCTCGACTGTTGCGCGCGCCCAGTCAGCCACGGGCGCGGCCCTCGGGGGGGCCCACGACTGGCCGGCGCGCGACCGCGAATCTTGCTTCGAAGCTGGGTCACTGCATGCCTGCTGCGGAGCTTGCGCTACGCAATTTCACTAGCTTTCCGAGCGCACCACCGACCCGTCTCACGCCGCCCAGGCCCGCGCGAGGCTCCGCCGTAGCTGGCCCGCAGTGGCCCAGAGGCGCATCGGGCAAAAGCGAGCCGGCGGCGGGCTAGGGTCTCAGGGCCCACCTCGGCGATTTTGGCGGCCCCCTTGGATCACGGCCGGCCCCCGCAGGGCCCGCAGCGTTTAGAGCGGCTGGCCCGACGGGCAGGGTCTGGAGGTCGGAGCCCCCAGACCACGGCTTCATTGATTTTGAATTTGTTGCGCGAGACGTGTTCCTGACTCTCTAGGCTAGGTTGTGGCGTCGCGCGGCTGCCGAGGACGGCGTCGATGCGCACTCGTTGCGCAAGTGGTTGTTCACTCTGGATCATAAGGCCCCCCAGCAAGCCCCGAGGATCCCTGACTGCGGTGGCCACGACCACGACCTGGTAGGAGGGCACGATGCTCGAGGTAGGTACGATCGACGAGTCGGAGGCCTTTTGCCAGCGCTGCCCTGCCCAGGCGGGGAGACTGATGTCCACCGCGCTCGGGAATGCGCAGCGGACGAGATTCTCAACGAATACAGCGACACAGCTGGCCTCGAGACCCGCGCGAGTGAAGAATAGGGAGCCTGCCCTACGCACTGGCAGCGCGGGCTCACACTGTCGGCCTGGGCCGAGTTTGCCCCACCATCCGAGGGCCATCTCGAGTGGGACTGGCCCTACGCTGCGGATGGCAGCGGGCCAGTTTGCGGGACGGAGCGGCGGGTAGTTGGGGACGGGTCGGGGAGGAGGTACTTTCAGGGCCCTCGGAATCGCCGCTGCTCTTGCAGTTGCTGCACGCTGGCTACAGAGCTCTCGAGTTTGATCTGTGACCAGGTCTAGGATGTTCAGGGGTCGGCTGGAGGCCTGCCAGCGCCAGCGCAGACGATCAATCGGACTGAGATGTTCGTTTTAATTCGGTAGGTGGAAGTCTTCGCCAGCCCTGGTAGAGCCTTGAGTTTCATTGCGGCTTATAGCAATGTTGCGCGAGAGATCAACAGACCCCAATCCAGACGCCCTCGGACCAATCGGGGCCTTTGGCGGCGCCTTCGGGAGGCCGACGGAACGGCACAGCAGACCAGTGACACAGAGGAGTCCCACGCGTCCGAGGACCGAGCCAGGCTGCCAGGCATCCCCGAGCTCTGGAGACGGGCCAGTGACATGGTCGACAGCCAGGCCAAGGCTGCCGCTCACAAGTTTCAGTTGTCCGAACCAGAGGTTGATAAGGGTCGCGGAGTGGAGGCCTTTTGCGAATAGGGCTTGGACAAGGCAAGTGGCGGTACCTAAGGAGTGAGCTCGCTGTGGCCCTCGTGGCCTTGGCGGGGTCGTGCAAGCGCTGCCCGAGCAGGATTGCGTTCGAGCTAGTAAGTTTGACTTGTTGATCAGTAGGACTGCGCGCGAGGTTGCGCGGCCTGAGGGTCGCGGGGGAACGAGTATCGTGCCGTCGTTGTCTGGGGAGCCGCGGGGGGGCCCGCCAAATGGCCGAGTGGCTGACCTCCCAGTGCGTGCTTATCTAGAGTGTGATCGCGGAGAACTCATGTCTGGCGCCGCCTGGCACGCGGGTCGCGGGCCGCCTGGCACGCTGCCCGTGCTCACTGCCAGGTTCCCGTTTTTGTGTGTTCCGCTTGCGGGTTGTGCTCAGCCCGCTAGACTGGAGTCCTCCGCGGACTGGCGGGGGAATGCGGCCCGCCCACCAAGGCGGTCCCGGGCAGCGCTTAGCTGCTCGAGAGGAGTGTGGCCAGGGTGCCCCAAAGCAGCTACGAATTTCAGCTGGGCCCCCTAGCCACCAAAACCATTCCAAGAAACTGTCCACCCACGGGGGAACATCTCCCCCTCCTCCTCCTCCTCCTCCTCCAGTTCCTCCTCCTCCCCCTCCTCCTCTTCTCCCCGCGCGCCCCCCCTCACT